AACAAATCTCCCCCTTGGCCTGAATTTCTGACAAAATAAATTTGTCCACCTTCTTGACTTAATCTTCAACAACTTGCTTCTCCTCACCATAATCTCCTTTGCAAAATTTATGTCTCAACACAAAGAATCTCTCTGAAACAATTTCTCCAACAAAATCTTCATTACTGTCAAAAAAAGGTTACGGCTAGAACTACACCGCCAAGATGAACACATCTTCCTAACCTGGTTCAATCATCGATTATCGAACCACTGAACCTGACTCCGTCATTGAATCTGGCTCTGATACCACTTGTTTGGATCGGAAATAAGCAGGTGTATACGCGGAAGCTAGCAAAGCAAATCTCGAAAGACCACGAGTAAGAAGAAAATGAGAAATATACCAAAAGACAGAGATTTAACGTGGTCCGGTCAATCGACCTACGTCCACAAAGGAGATGAGCAATCAACTATAAATATGAGAGTACAAAATACAGAGGGAAACAACCTCAACCAATTCACCCGGAATACATGGGAGGTTCACACTAGAGATAATGTATCAAGCTTGTGACCCATAAATTCTCCCCCTAACCAAAACTCTCAAAGCCCTTAAGACTACATTGTGAATGCTGATTAAGTTAGAAGGAACATTCCTGAGTCCTAAACCTTTTCCTACCAGAAAAAGGATTAGCCAATCCAAAACCTTTTCCTAAAAAGAAAACCTATTTATGGTAAGAAATTTAGGGCAAATAAAACCCAACAAGTATTTGGTTCGGTATGCTATGCACATATTCCTTTCTAAAAGAGGCAAATTAGACAGCAAGTCACTACTGTGTGTTCTGTTGGGCTATACTACAATTGCAATGGGATACAAAGTATACAATGTTAGTAGTAGAAAGGTGATTGTTAGTAGAGATCTTGTAGTTGATGAGTCTAGCCACTATTATTGGGATCGTAATAGTATTGTGAAGAACCAAGGTGGGAATACTTCAGCTGCAACTCCAAATCAGCAAAAAGGTAATACTCCCTCTTGTTCTATTGCTGGAACAAAAAACAATTCAAATGTTGAATTGACTGCAGACTCTCCTATTTTGAAGAACAAATCACTAGCAGAAGTTTATGTTCAATGCAATTTTGCTCTTATTGAACCATCCTCATTTGAAGAAGCAGCAAACCACAAAGTGTGGATTTCAGTAATGGAGGAGGAACTTTCCATGATTAATAAAAATGGTAGTTGGGAGTTGGTTGATAGGACAGAAGAGAAGAATTTTGTCGATGTCAAATGGGTCTATCAAACAAAGTACAATCCAGATGGATCCATATTCAAGAATAAAGCTAGACCTGTAGTAAAGGTTATTCTCAGCAGCCTGGAGTGGATTTTGGAGAAACGTTTGCTTCTGTGGCACGGCATGAGACAGTAAGGTTTCTAGTCGCTCTCGCAGCATAATGCAAGTAAAAAATCTTCCATTTGGATGTAAAATTTGCATATATCAATGGATTGATTGAGGAAGACATATGTTGAGCAACCTGAAGGTTTTACAGTTGCAGGTGAAGAAGGCAAGGTCTACAAGCTTAAAAGGGCTCTTTATGGTCTTAAAGAAGCCCCAAGAGCTTGGTATAGTAGTCTGGATTCTCATTTGCTGTCTCAACGCTTCAACAGAAGCCTAAATGAGCCTACTTTGTACTTCAAAAGGCAAGTGGATGGAATGTTGATTATGATATCAGTTTATGTCGATTATATTGATGATTACTGGTGAAAATCCTCTTGCGGTTCAATAAGTTAAAAATGAAATGCCAAAAGTTTTTGAGATGACCGATCTAGGAGAAATAATGTTTTTCTTGCGAATGGAGATAACTCAATCTTGTGAAGGAATTTTCTTGTTCCAAAAGAGGTATGCCTTGAGTCTGTTAAAAGGTTTAAGCTTGACAAGTGCAGAGCTGTTGCAACTCCGCTTTTTTGTGAATGAAAAATTAATGAAGGATGATGGCGAAGAGAGGGAAGTTCCAAAAGTTTATAGAAGTCTAATTGGTAGTCTATTGTATCTAACATCTTCTAGGTGTTCGCTGTCAGTTTGGTATCTCAATGTATGTTAAGTCTCAACACTAAGCATTTTGGATAAAAGGGTGTTAGGGTATATTAGAGAGACGATTAATTATGGAATCTGGTATAGAAATGTGGAGAATGGAGATCTTATTGGATATTAAGATAGTGTTTGGTGTGGATATTTGGATGATTACAAAAATACTTATGGTTATTGTTTTTCGTTTGGTTCAAGAATTTTTTCTTGGAGCACAAAGAAGGAATATATTGTAGCACAATCTTCAGCAGAAGTAGAGTACGTGTTTGCTGCATCTGCTACAAATCAAGCAATCTGGTTAACAAAGATCTTGTTGGAATTGAATTTGTTGCCAAAACAGCCAACAGTGATCTATGTGACAATAAATCAGCCATTATGATGGATGAAAATCCGGGGAAACATGGAAGAACAAAGAATATCAACATAATGTTTCATGCTTTAAGAGATGCCGAGAAGAATGATGAAGTTTTTTTGGTGCATTGCATCAGTGAAGATCAGCAGACTGATGTTCTGACCAAGGCTCTTTCCACTAAGAAGTTTAAGTTTCAAAGGTTGATGCAAGGAGTTTCAATTGAAAATCTTAAGGAGGAGTGTTAGAAAATTAAGATTTGTCTTGAAACTCGTTTATTGGAGATATTTTGTAATAGATATGTTAGTCTTGATTAAAAATGAGTGGTGCTTACTGAGACACATAGGTACATAGTTTTGTGTGAGATATTTTGCTTATTATGTGGTTATGATTCTCACACTTTATCTATAAATACACCATATGTAATGAAACATCATGTAAGAAAAAACAATTTAACTCAAGAAAACTTAAACTTTCTTCTTCACTTTCAAATTTCTTGTAGCAATTTACAACTGCGATATCCTACTGTTTACACCTTCGATACTTAAAGTTCTTCCTTTTTATTTTAACATCTCTCAATAAAAATATTTGGAAGTTTGAAGAAGGTGAAAGGGCTGGTCCAACAGTTTATAGAAGTCTTCTTGGTAGTTTGTTGTATTTGTCATAACCCGATCTCATGTTTGCGGAAAGTTTTAGTCGAGGTTTATGAAAGCTCCAAGTCAATTTCATCTTGGTGTTGCTAAATGAACATTAAGATATTTCAAAGGACTTCCTTATTATGGTATTTGGTTTAAAAGGGAAGATCAATGGCAAATAATGGGTTATTCAGATGGTGATTGAGCAGGAAGCTTTGATGATGTGAAAAAAACTTTTGGATATGCTTTTACACTTTGTCCAGGCACGTTCTGATGGAATTCAAAGACTCAAGAGATGGAGACTTAATCTTCTGCAAAAGCAGAATACATCGCCGATGCTGGTACAACTTATTAGGCTCAATGGTTAAGAATGATTCTACATGATCTGGAGCAAAATGACATTAGAGCTACTGTCATTAAGGTTGAAAACAAGTCAGCAATATCTATGGCCAAAAATCAAGTGCAACATGGCTATAGCAAGCATTTAAATGTGAAGTTTCATGCTATCATGCAAGTAGAAAAGGATGGAGAAGTACAACTTGCTCATTGCAGCTCAGATCAACAGATTGCGTAAATCATGACCAAGTCTCTTTCTAAGGGGAAATTTGAAGTTCTAAGAAGTTCTAAGGGCTAAGTTGGGAGTTTCCAAGAAAAATCTCAAGGAGGATGTTTGAAAATAAGATATTTCTAGATGATTTTTGTATACTAGTTCTTTTTTAAAACATTATGTTAAGTGTGTAAAGGAAAGGTAGTCCTTTTTTTTAAGGAATATGTTTTGTAAGAGAGTCAATAGTGGTTAGATATGATGGTCCTCAACAAACTTTGTAAAAGTTTATGTAGATATGTATTTATGCATTTTGAAATATGAACATTAAATAAATTACATGTGTTGAACCTTATCTTTTTCTTTAAAAGATTCAAATCCTAACAATGATGAGTTATTGGCTTCCTTACTTGTTACAAATAATGATTTTTTGATGCTAATTAAGAAAATATGGGTGTATGATCCTGATTTAAAGGAGATAATTTCCAAGATGATTCCAAGTTGTAGGTAAAACCTTTCAAGTCATATACTTGGTGTAGTGAGCAATTGAGATTGAAAGGCAAACTTGTTGTGGTAAATGATATTGCCTTGAAAAAACTGTTTTAGAGTTATGACATATTTACTTCAATGTGGCACTGAAGAATCAATGCCACTATTAGGAGAATACATCACTATTTCATTGAAGGGCATTATTCAAGACATTAGGGACTTCATTAGCAGATGTGATATCTGTCATACCATAAGTATGATCTCGCAGCTTCCCCTGGTTAATTATAATCATTAGTGCCCTTGAGGGTGTATGGACAAATATATGCCTTGATTTTTTATTGAAGGACTTACAAGTCCAACGGAAAGGAAGTTGTCTGGTGGTAGTAGATGGATGTAGCAAGTTTTGTCACTTCATAAGACTACAACAACCTTATAATGCTCAGGTTAATACTCAAAGTTCAATGTGTTTAAGTTGCATGGCAGTAAATATAACAAGTGATAGAGATCATTCATTAGTTATTCTGGTAGAAATTATCTACTCTTAAAGGGGTCCAACTTAAGAAATATACTACTTACCATCCCCAAATTGATGGTCAAATAGAGGTGTTTAATAGAACATTGTGGAATTATTTTCGGTGTTTTTGATTTGATTGTCCTAAGGAGGGATCTACGTATAACACTACTTATCACACTACCATTAAGGTCACTAAGGTTCTCTATGGTCAAAAACTACTCTTATGCCTTTGGTATTTTGTTCGTGAGTTCTTTGTTGATAGGGTGGATAGGTCCTTGGCTGCTGGAAAGGCTATCAAGCAGTTGATCAAGTTTCATATAGAGAGTGCATAACAATGAATGAGGGATGTAGGAAATAAACATAGATCATACCACACTTTCACTATTGGAGAATGGGTATATATAGAAATATAGCCTTAAAAACAAGTTTTTGTAGCTATTGGTCCATTTAAGAAATCAAAACGAAGTATTTTGGGCCTTACCCTATTAATGTTTGGATTAGCACTTCAGTCTATATGCTATAAATTCCATGTGTCTCAACTTTAGAGGTGTCATGAGTTACCATTGGTTAATAGACATCCTCTAGTGTTTAACTTACCCATTCCATATTTTCGTTCTCTTGAGACTATGTTGGAAAAAATATTAGTGAAAAGGGCAACAAAGTTGTTGGATAGGTCTTAGTCAAATGGACAGGTATCCTTGAAGATCAAGCTACATGGGAGTTTCCTCTCTTAAGTTGTAACACAAGATTCCTTCTTTTAAGCGTAGAGGTCAAGGGTGATCGCGTTAGGGTAACCGTTGCAAGTAAATGGAAATTAAATTAGCTAAATAATTAATTAGTTGAGGTGGCAAAAGTGGTTAAGAATATGTTGGTTTGTTAGGAGTTAGTTGTTATAGTGAAGTTAGCTGCAACAACTGTTAGTTGATTCATTTTAGTCATAACATATATACAAGTTGTATGAGAATCCAAAATCATGCTTAATGAAATAACTCTTCTCTCTCTTTCTAAATACAATTCTCTTAGCTATTATTCTTAGATTTATTTTTCCGACTTAGCATATTAATTTTGCTCCAGATTCTATTTCTTGGATCGGTCAATTTCGTAGTTCTGTGCAGGGGAGGATCTAATATAGCCCGTGGGGGTGCCACGCCACCCACGAGTTTCGACAAAAACTCTATTTATATAGAAATATTTTTGTACAAATATGGATAAATAAAACCTGTTCCACCTAGAGAACAAATGCATTATTTGGTGTAATTGTAGACCGTCCAGTTTGCGATTCCTCGATCAAGGGATCAATTCTAGGCAGAAGTTTTTTTTTAATTTTCCTTTTAACCACAGCCATCGTTTCTTTTTTATAGCACATTCTCTTTTGATTGTTGATTTCTTTTTACTTATTAAGTATTAATTAATAATTATTTTTTTAACTAATTTGATTTAACTCTTTGATTTTTCTTTTACATGATTAAAGATATTAAAAAAAATTCTCTTCACTGTTGAAACCTCCTTTAAACTTTTGAACAACAAAAAGTTGTCATTAATTAAAGCTTCAGGCTTCCTTCCGTCGCCCAATCCTGCTCTCCCATCCAGCCACAAGATGAATAGTTCTATCTGAATCAAAAATTGATTTAATCAATTAGTCTATTGAGAATTAGAGACAATCTAAAATTTGAAGATTTTGACGCACCAATACTATATTAATTTAGGCAGTTAACAAAATTTTTACTACAATTAACGAATAATGTAGTATTTGATTGGTGCTAATGACTCGAATATGATTCATAAGCTAAGCTTAATAAAAAAATAATGAAATAAGACTGAACTGTATTCTCGCGAGTGGTTTCTCTGGCTTGTACCAACTAAACAAGGGCATCCCTACGCTTCTTATGGGTGCACAATTGATTATACACTACTTTATGTCAGTTTCTTACGATAGATATACATATATACACGTAATTTTTTGAAGTTAACGAATGCACATGCACCGCTATCATATCATTTGGGTCCGCCTCTGCTTGGCACCCAATGACTCTAATTCCTAGATTCGCCTCTGGTTTTGTGCATCATAAATTAAGAAAAAAGACATATCCTAAAGACAAAAAAAGATGAGGATATTGAGTTCGCATTCTCCGCCAAACCCTTAAACACTCTCTTGAATCAAACAATACCATTACATAACTTGGGTTAAGAGGAAAAATTCTCAAATTTACTTCAAAACTCAAAAAACTCCTCCAAATTAATTTTGAGCTCCAATTCTCACCTAACTCAACTGAACGTGCTTGAAAGCGCCAGAATCATCTGAGTAGACCAGAACTACATCAAAACCATAAAATAGAACAACGGTAGGACCATGACTGATGCAATCCAACTCCCAAATCAAAAAAATGAACCTTATTCTACATATCTAACACCTTATAATGATCAAGAATATTTTTCGGTCCTTAGACGTCCTAAACATCTAATAATTGCATCACAAGATCCCCAAGAACATCGAGCAACAATAATCGTCAAAACAAGGAACTCGGTCCAAGGCAAGTCCCAAAGTCTAGATTTTAATCTCAAAGAGCAACAAATACTATTGAAACACAACCATTTGAAGATTAACATGCTAATCCAAAGGACCCCCATCATGTGAACGACAAGTTTTCATGGTGACCAGGTCTATGGAAATACTCCAAGAAAATGAAATTTAGACCACGAGTCAACAAGCTACTCTGCTATCACAAATCTAAACCAACCACCCAGTCTGCGTGAAACCAAGCCATTATGCTGCGTATTTACACAGTTAACTGGTTGATAGTGGACCAAGGTTACCAAATCCTACTAATTAACTATGCAATGAGCTAATCATGAGAAAGCAAACCATGCATCCTCAACTATAACCAACTCAGAGATTTGGTGAATATCCTTAATCCCAATTTGAAGATGAATCTTCTTAGAAAATTCCCATTTCCCAACAGAGCTAAGAACTGAAACTACCTGAACACAACCATTCAGTCCCTAAATCATACACTAGCCTCAAGAGATATCAACACAACAATAAAGAACCAACATTACAACTAATCTAATCTCAACAAGGGATCACATCTTAAACTTCAATATTGCAATAACTAAACCCAAGACCCAAGAAGCAGACTAATAAAAAATGTGTCGAGCAAGCGAAACAAAACTTCACAATTGAGAAAATACTAAGGAAAATTAAGAAAGAAACAAAATAAAACCATACCACTCAACTCCGAAAACTAGAAATATCCCAACTACTAAACAAAAGGGATAGAACACAACTAATGCAACTTGGTCCATTTTAAGACCCCCAAAATGAGTTAGGGTGTCTAGATACTCACTTGTGACTATAAAATTATTACCATATTAATTAAGTGTTTTAAAGTATGCTTGGGTGATTCGAGGTCATTTAGAAGTCAAACGTTAAGGGATAATCAAGACATTCAAGGACTAGTCCCCTATGGGGATTTATGTGCTTATGTGTGTTTCATGAGATTATGAGGCCTTTTAATGAGTAATAATAATTTTTATAAGCAGTCTATAGAGTTTCATGAATTTTGAGGTCAAACGTCCAAGACTCTCAAAAGTTAGCCCTTGAAACATGCATATGTATGTCTTAATGGTGCCTAGCATGTTTTGACCTGTTGCGTGTTATTATTTTAGGTGAAAATTATGTGGAAGGTCATTGTCTTGTTATTTTTCATATTTACATTGGAAACTTCTGGGTATGACTTCCCAAGGGCCCCGCAAAAGGCCCTCAATGAAGGACCTGAATACTGTCGAGGGCAGTGTCAATCGACGAGCTCAATTGATGCCTCGTCACTCCCTCGACGCCCCGTCGACTTGGGGCGTAGGTTGAAATTTAGCCTCAGGGAGATCTGAAGCCACCAAGTAGGAGCTGCAGTCACTAACGGAGCAGCAGGATTCCCCATCGTCCTGCCGATGCCCAGTCGATGCTTTCCATTGATGGTTTCCTGCAATTGCTGCCTAGCAACTGTTTTATTTAACGGGTGAATGGGAAATTCACCCCACATCCTAACCTAAACCTACTAGGTTTATTTGATTATTTTTGAGTGTTTTTAAGTGATCAAAAACATGATCAACCCATTCCCAATTCATTATACAGGAAAATAGACTTCCCCTCCAAAACCAATTCTCTCTATAAACCTCCATTGTAGTTGAAGCTCAAGAACAAATTGGATCTTGGATTCTAATGAATTCTTTATAAAGTTTTATAGGTTCTCTTCTAGATAATGTTATGGTAATCATTCATCTCTAGTTATCCTTCCATCTAGAGAGTTAATCTCAAAGTTTTCAAAGAGAGAATATGATCAAATCTCTTCC